GCGCTATCTAACAAAATGAAATTCAATGGTGAAAAAAGTAAGGTTCTTCATTTAGGCAAGAAAAACCAAATGTACAGGTATAATATAGGGGATACAGTACCTTGCTCAATAGTAGTAACTGTGAGAGGGATCTCGGAGTCCTAGTGGACAATCACTTAAATATGAGCCAGCAGTGTGCTGCAGCTGCCAAAAAGGTCAACACAGTGCTAGGCTGCATTAACAGAGGGATAGAATCAAGATCACGTGAAGTGTTAATACCACTTTACAATGCCTTGGTAAGGCCACACTTGGAATACTGCATCCAGTATTCCATCTAGAAAGAGTACAGAGAAGAGCAACAAAGATGATTAGGGGTCTGGAGGCTAAAACATATAAGGAAACAGTTGCTGGAATTGGGTATGTCTAGTTTAATGAAGAGAAGGACATGATAGCAGTGTTCCAATATCTCAGGGGCTGCCACAAAGAAGAGGGAGTCAAGCTATTTTCCAAAGTGCCTGAAGGCAGGACAAGAAGCAATGGGTGGAAACTAATCAAGGAGAGAAGCAATCTAGAACTAAGGAGAAACTTCCTGACAGTTAGAACAATTAACCAGTGGAACAACCTGCTTCCAGAAGTTGTGAATGCTCCAACACTGGAAGTTTTTAAGAAGAGACTGGACAGCCATTTGTCAGAAATAGTATAGGGTTTCCTGTCTGAGCAGGGGATTGGACTAGATGACCTCGAAGGTCCCTTCCAACTATTATTATTATTATTATTATTATTATTATTATTATTATTATTATTATTATTATTATTATTATTATTATTAAACGCGGATCTGGATTAATTGTTTCCCTGTAACGCAGAGCTCTGAATTGGCTATACTGTATCCTGGGAAGGGTACCAGGTGCATCAGCGTGCATATACCCAGATTGGTTGTGTCTTCTGCTGGCCAGGAATGTATGCTGATAGTCACCTTTTGTGCCTGTTGCACTGAATCCCAAAAATCACAGTGAAAAGGTTTTGTTGCTTCTCTTTTCCCCCGAAAACAAATTACTAGCTCAATGGCAAGAGCTTTTTTCAGAGCTCTGATGAAAGGACTAGTCAGCAACAAAATCTACATATCTGGACATGGCCTCTCCAAGTAAATCTGGCATGTTACTTTACTTAAATAATGATGGAGCTGGAATAATGGTGGAATAAACTTTACTGATTAATCAAATTGACCATACTGGGACAGTAGATGTTAGCCACAATAAGATATGAATGAAATGAAATAAGGTAAGATTCAGCAAAGTAAGATAAAGTAAAAATAAGAGTTAGAAAAAAATAGTGTAAGTGTACCTTATGTTTTTCCAATAAAGTTGTATCACTGCTTCATAAAACAGCTAGAACCTGCAAGATAGTCTTGTTCCTGAGAGAGAAGAAGACAAGGCCTCTGTGTCCTCTGTTTACCTTGTATGAATTAAGTTTGCAATTGCTTTCATAAGATTAGATGGGCTGGCTCTCCTATTATACATTTGCATCATGGAGCAATTGTTGGAAAACTAGGGCATCAGTTTCAGTTCCTATTTCCCTGCTGTTGAAAACCAAATAGTGTACAGTATGGCATGTATATAAATTAACTTGCTCCCTCAGATATTGGGGAAGACTTACCTATTGTCTACTTCTGTCTGTGTAATAGGAAGATCATCTATTGGTTTTGTGACAGGTAGCAAAACATCTTGGCTATGTCCTGCACATCAGACTTTAAAAAGTGCTGTCACTCATTTCATACAGTTCTGTTTTCTCTTCCACATGAATGATTAATTAATGTAAGCTCTACAATGCATCCCTTTAATACTTATCACATATTTACATGTGCAATAGGCAAGCACCTTGGGGTTTAAACTCATCACCCAACAATACAAATACAAATTCATAGTTGTGCTCTCTCTTCCATATGATTGATTAATTAAGGAAAGCTTTATAATGCACCTCTTTAGTGCTTATCATGTCCTTAGGTACGTAGCGGGTAAATGGTTTAGGGTTTAAGGTAAAAGCTCACCACCCAACAATACAGATGCCATTAATTTTTTCAGTGTTTTGAGCATTTTCATGCTTCACAGAATTTTCTAAAAATCAGGATCTTGAAAATCTCTTTAAGCATTCATTGTGAAGTAGTTTTGAAGAATGTTTTGGTCTGAAGAATGTGCACTTATTAAGGACTTTTTGTACACAGGGAGTCATGACTATTCCTTGACATTGTGTGGGAACTTACTTAGGTGTTAGAAAGGTCATATCGCCTGAATTTTCCCTTCTGAAAAATAATGTCACTTTCTCTGTTAGTTTTTAAAATTACTTTATTAATATTATTGCAAGCATTTGAAATGTATTTCTTGTGAGTTTAGAAGAACAGAAAAAGAAGACATATTAAACTGGAGACTTATAAAGAGAAGCTCTAAAATATTTTTCTATATTTGCTCAGGGTGCAAAATAGAAGACCATCAAATACCAGTTTTATCACTGTAGTTCAGTGGTAAAAATTATACTTTGCATGTGGAAACTCCAATATTTGCTATCAAACTCTTCAGACACAGCTACACATTCCTATTACACTATTGCTCCCCAGGATAAGCAACATTATGGAGAGTACAGGAAATGTGAACAAACTCATAAGCCCCACAAAATGAATAAGAAAAATAAATATTAGCTAGAATTAGTTTATACCATTAGCATTCACAACACCTCACTATAACATTTTATCTTTCTAAACCTGTATTGTTTTCATTGTATGCATACATGATTTTACACATTGGCTTTTGTCCTTTAAATTTAACCCTTTTAAGGTTCGCATTAATTTTATCTTGACCTATTTACTCTACCTCCATGTATTTGTTTCATAATTTCATTCTTGTTCATTCTCTCCTTATATAAATAATTTTAAACTATTTTTACTTGTCATTTTGAATTCAATGAATGAGAATTCGGTGAATTCTCCATTCATTCTGCAATCATCTACTTTTGATCCTGTCTCTTGTTTTAATCACACACATTTCTTAAGCATTCCATTCCACTGCATTCCTAACTACCTTGGATTTTGATGCACAAATGTAAGACTCACAATACTTATTGCTTCTTATGATCTATTTAACATTCCTAGCAAATTTAAGTTCCAGCCAACAATATCATCTCCATTCAAGTATAGTTGGGAAGTGGTCCTTGAAATCTAAGACAGCTGAGAGCAAACAAAACTGTGGTTCTTGGATCACATGTATCCCCCTACCACTTTTTTTTTTTTTTTGCATTCTTGAGAACCCTCAATTGGATGAAGCTGGAATACTTTTTGGTGGGGAACTGAGGCAGTTTAAGGGGTGATACAAATGTTTCAAAATTTGCAGAGACTTAAGGCATATAAGGTGTGCTCATATCACACCTTATCCATAGAAACCTGTACCACACTATAACTTCTCCAAATTGCACAGATTTTTTTCTTGTTTTTTTTCTTGTTATGACTTAGAAGATTTCTTTCACTCCTTCAAGATCTGGGTAGGTTTGATTTGAATTAGGTACTCAGTATAGGTCTCTATGAATCCAATGGGACAAAACTTAGCTTCATTTTGATTTAAGTACAGCCATTTACAATGAAAATTAAGAGCAGCTATTTTTTGACTAAATCCAATGCAGAAAGAGACTGATACCTGTTTCAGTTTGCTTAAAAGAAGAAAAATTTTCTGGATAGCTTTCAGAAAACTATAGCTAGATTTGTTGTTTTAGGATGAATTCCAACCCTGCACGAATTTTATTTGGGTGGAAGCCCAGATCAATCCAGAGAGACTGACCTGAGAAAGTATAGCTTTGATTAGGTTGACCCAATGGCAAAGAAATTAAGGAGGTTTGGGCATCACACCCCACAAATTTAAAGAATATGCTGCAGTGCCAAAGAACCAGTCTTAGGTCAAATTGACCACACATTTGGCTAGCATATAAAAGGGGACTCTAGCTATTCTATCTCATTGGATGGAGTCCAATGGACTTCTCAGGAGAAAATAAACAATTGGCCCTTTTCAGCATGCTGAATAGACTTCAAATCTGGGTCCTAATTTTGGAAAATATGATTTTATTATTTATGGGAAGCATGGGGAATAGGGGCAGGGAACTGCCTATTCAATGTTGAAATAAATAGATGGATCAACAGTTTTCATTAAAGATAATAAAACTAATCCCAATTTTATTTTTTTCATGATTTTGGCCCCCTGACTTCAAATGGACCTCAAAAATAATGAAGAAAAAATAGTTACACTTATCATAGAGTATAGTGGGAATAAGGGATGGCAGCTTAAATGAAAATTTTCTCTTGTTATTAGAGTAGTAGTAGTAGTAGTAGTAGTAGTAGTAGTAGTAATAATAATAATAATAATAATAATAATAATAATAATAATAATAATAATAATAATAATAAGCTGTCATGAGTTTGACACATTTCTCAAGAATATAAAATGCCTATTAGATTTCTACTGAAAATGCTGAAAAATAAAGAGATTTTGGCAATCTTGTTAAGACATGGGCTATTATTATTATTTTTTAGCAATGTTAAAGAACATGTTTTTAACAGATTTATTTTTGCACCTTTGTTGAAAATCAGATGGTGAAACCCTTTGTATGGGCAAATTAATTTAGACAGGCAATACAGAGTAAGAGGTTACCTTGTTGTCTCTCTTCAATTCACCGCAGGCTTTTTTCTGTTTCAAAAGTGCAGTAAGAATAATATTGCATGCATCTCATGAAGTTGACAGTAAGCCTTAAACAGTCAATTCTATAGAATCTTTGTAAATCTTTAAGGTATTCCAGGATTCTTAGTCAACCACATAATTTTTAAATAATTTCTTTTTTATAGTAATTTAATTAAACATTAAAAAGATAAAAACAAAGTTTAAACCGTTAAAAATTGCATAATGTCTAATCCCCAGTTTAATGTCAGCTTTTCATACTTTGCAGAGCCATGAATAGATAGAAACTTTCCCCTTTTTTGCATTGCTTACCAGAAGTAAAATAATTCCATCTGTCACATGTGATGCCTTTGCAACACAGATTAATTTGGGAAAAAATATTTCTAAAGTTCACCTGTGAGGCAGAATTACCCAGTGGGAAAGTCTGCACAGTTCCTTGAGTGACTTTGCCTCTCTTTCAAATGAAAACTTACCTTGAACTTTTTCTCTTCCTTCTCAGTCAATAAAGGCAGTCCAGCTGCAGTAACATCTGCCTGGAGGCGCACAGCAGCTTCCTCTCACTTGGAACAGAGTGGGGAGGTCTGTAATGATTCCTGGCCATATATCAGCTGAAGTGAAGACACAGGAAAGGGAGGTGAATAGGGGAAGAGCTCTGATTTTGCAAACCTGTACATTTAAGAATGGAGACAGAATTTCCCAATAATGATGTTGGGAAAATCCCTTTCTTGACTGTTTGTTGGACAAGGCTTAGTCAGGGTTTCTTTTTCTACTCTGAGAGAAGTGCTTTGGTGCCTTGCATGTTCTTGTTCAACCTTTCCTTCTCTGTTATGCACTTGAAATATGATCAAACAATGCTCTGACCACAAAAATAATCCTATTTGCTTTTTCAGTCCAGTTGTTTTTAGAAGGAAGGGATTGCTTAGAAAGAAGACATATTTCTTTCACATTGATATGTGCTGATTTGCATAACAAATTCTCCAGCCCGGTTCCTCTAGGCAGTTGGTGTAAGCCTGACAGCACTCCTGTGCCACTGTAACATTTAGTTCTTATAAAATAAAAAACGATGCATGACTGAAAAAAGAAAGGAAAATATAGGCTAGAGACTATTAGTATCCTCTGGCATTCTGTGGACAACCAGCCCCCTGCCCTCCCCAGGAACCAATGTTCACCTGTTCCATCAAAGCTACCAGACCCAAATGTTGGGAACCCTTCCTATAAATGCACATTTAGGAATAACCAGTATAGTTTTAAGTAGAAATTCAATGTGATATAAACTGCAAGCAAGAGGCATATACCTGCAGCAATGGAAGACAAAGTCCTTCTTCCTTCTTCCTACAGCTCTTCACCTAAACTGCTATTGGACTGCACAACTCTTTAAGCAGCAGATACTTTAAATGGACTGTCTTCCATAAGGTAAGATATGTGGCTTCTATATGTGCTTGTGTGTGATTATTCCTTATTCCAATTGTGTGTGTATTCCAATTCCTTTGGTTTATTTACTTACTTTTACTCTGATGTGTTTTGTATTTCACTCTCTGACTAAAAAACTCAAGATAGAAATTATAGTCCCACTTCTAATTTTATCCATTTAACCAGCTTGTAAGATAGAGAAAGTTGAATTTTGTGTCCTTGATCCCTTCAAAAGGCGTGGGCCTTTAGTTATCATGTCTTAAATATGAATGTTTTTTTGCAGAAAAATGTATAACTGGATAGTATTAAAGTATGCAACTTGTTAGAATTGAATAATTAATATCTCCTACAACAGTAATTCTTTTTTTTACTTATGAATTTTTCATCCAGATTTAAAATGGTGCCTCTTAGGAGATCATAACCACAACTCTGTTATATAACAATCTACTGCAATCTCATATTTAACAGAGAGATATGATGTGCTACACTTGGATTGAGTAACATGACTACACCATGATAATTGCTTTTTAGGCAGAAAGTACCAGTAATTCTTGATTTATGATCACAACTGAGGACAAAATTTCTGTCGCTAAGTGAGTAAAATTTGTTAAGTAAATTTTGCCTCATTTTACAACTTTTTTTTGCCACAGTTGCTAAGTAAATCACTGCAGTTGTTGTTAGTAATGTGGTTGTTAAGTGAATGTAGCTTACCCGTTGACTTTGCTTGTCAAAAGATCAAAAAGATGATCACATGACTTCAGGACACTGCAACTATCATAAATACATACCAGTTGCCAAGCATCCGAATTCTGATCATGTGACTATGGGGATGCTGCAACAGTCATAAGTATTAAAAGAGGTCATAAGTCACTATTTTCACTGCCATTGTAACTTTAAAGGTCACTAAACAAACTGTTGTAAGTCGAGAATTACCTGCTTGGTGAAACAGCTACAGTTACACTTCATATCTTTGGTCTTTGTGTTTGGAAAAGGACATAAGTCAAGGGTGAGACCATTCACTACAGCAGTTTTAAAAGCCAGATATCAAGGATTTTTTTCTTTCTTTTTCAAAATACTGTGTTGTTTTCAAATAGACTATGTTTCAACATGGGTGGCAGCAATTAAAGGAGTGTGCCTGCTATCTATCATTCTGACCTGAAAAAGTGGGTAAAAATATAAATTCATTAAACACGTACAAAAATATGTAAAATTCAAAATATACTTGAGGCACTAATGTGTGTGTGTGTGTGTGTGTGTGTGTGTGTGTGTGCGTGCGTGTGCATAATAAATTGTTCTTTGAAGTTCTATTCAAAAATACCATTTTTCACTTTCTTAGAAAAGCAAATAATAATATTGGTTTCCCAAAATATTATTGTAATTGTTTAAATCAATAAGAAAGTAACAATCTCAAGTGAAGTGAAAACTAAAAAATGTGAGTATGCAGTTCCATGTAATAGAATGATTATTTTTGAATTCTAGTAACTATAACTGCTACATAAATAAAGGGATACATAAACTCCCTTTCTCTTGCATGTGCATACAGATTTGATCTTATGTATCTGAATAAGGCTACACAAGCAATTATTTGCTGATGCAGATATTCATTAAGGCTTTTTTTTTAAGTTTAGTGTAGAATTTTGGTTGATTAAACTCCTGTCTTTAAGTGATTAATTATTAATGATTATACATATGCTCATAACCAGTACATCAACATTGATGACTTTGAGATATTATAAAGAAGCTGTTTGCAATTTTTTAAAATGTACAACATCTTTTAGTCAGTATTAAGAAAAATGTCCCTCTTTTATAGTTTTTCTTTTGATTGGCTATTACATTAATATAGCAAACTTTTAAAAAATGCTTTCCTTTTGGTCCTTTTGAATTTAAATCTGCCTTCACTAAGTAAAATGTACATTCTTTGATGAATCAATTAAACCTTATGTTGATAACATACTGATGCAAGCCTGCGGTGCTAAAAATAATCAATAATTTAAAATATTCTGAAAACTAATTTAGTGATTTACATTTTTATTGTTTAAAGAGTTAGGGTATTGTAAAATTTTATAACTAAAGGTATATTAAAAATGAAACCTGTAAAGTATTTCATCCTTAAAAAACAAACACTGACAAAAGATAATCCATATATGAAAAGCAAACATTCCATTCTTATTATATATGACATTTACTATAACATAGTACGTCTTGGTATCATTTTTGAATGTGTGCAGCTTTAATTTGTAATATGTTTTTCTTGGCTGGCTGAAAAGAAATTATTTCAGCTGAATATTTCATATCAGAAAGTCTCAATAAATTTGAACCTATATTCAGTGTAAATATTAATATGAAATGTAAAATTGCTACTGTTCTTGGTCACTTGACAATGGTTATATTTTTACTAATCCAAAGCCATTGAGATGAAGATGGGGGATACCACCAAAATTGCTAGATTTTAGGCCCTGTTAGGAGAAAATGAGAAAAAGTTCTATATTTTCTGTGATCATGGTTGAACATAAATTGTCACCTTCTGGATATAATGAGAATTCACCATCCTTGCTCCCAACTTTTGCACCTCTATAATTGGGTAGCAATAATGTAAGAACAGTGAGGCTTTTCCAAAATTGGAAATAGGACATGATCAATAATATAGTGTGTGTGCTGAACAAAAATGTAGGACATTTTGACTCCTTCAGATCCTGAAGGATCTGAGCTTTTTAATGCTATTGTAGTAGGAGATATATAAAATCTAGTGGAAAACATAGAAAATATAGTTTGGGGTAGATTGTTTCTCTCTGAAATATTTTCTGCTGCATGTTATATACCAGGCATATCAAACTGCCGGCCCACAGGCCAGATGCATCACACTGAAACTACACCCACCCTATTGCTGGCAATGGGGAAAAAATCACGATACATTGCGCGATGTCATGTGACGTCGCGGGTTTGATATGCCTGTTATACACAGTCATCAGTGATGACTCAGTGATAACTCCTCAGTTCAAGAGATGAAGCTACATGGTTTAGGGCATGCAAAGAAAATGGCAAGGCTTCTAAACTATTGCTTTACAACATCTCACTATTTTCCCCTTCTACAATGAAATCTTTAACATTGCTTTACAATGGTATCTCATAATATTTCCTAATACAGGACTGAATGTTATATTAACATTTTGGTGGGGATGGAGTTGCTAAGGTACATTTATAAAGCACAAGCTATGGTGTTTTGTGACCATATGGAAACAAGGAAGTGAGGAAATAGTCAAGATTTTGCTCACAATCTTTTAATCTTTGATCACAAATATTCTCTTCTATTGGTATTTGGTTCACTGTCAGACAGATAAAAACCTATAAGTATAAGAATCACAGTGGCAGTAGTTAGGGTAAATATTCATAAAATTTTTTGCCTATGACTCTCTCAATTCTAATGATCCGTTTTGTGTATCTATGTTTAGGAACAGCAACACAGTGGCACAGAGGCTTAATGACACTGGATGTGCTGAGCAATTGGCAGCACTCCGGTAGTTCAAGTCCAGCTCTGTGGCACTGAATGAATTTCTGTCTCTTGTCCCTAGCTCCTGCCCATTTAAGAGTTCAAAAGCATTGTTTGCGAGTAGATAGATAGAGACCGCCATTTTGATGTTGGGAAAATGCTGGCTGAGCTCTGTGTGGGGAGCTGGAACTGGGGCTGTATCTGTTCAAAAATGATCAGCGGAGGATCGGTGGAGGAAAGCCCCACATGACCTGACTTCCTCTGAGAACGCTATAGGCCAGCGTGGTGTGAAGTTAGTTTGCCCCCTTGTGGTGTATCTGTGCAACAAACAGACTAGTGACAGCTGCCAGGACTTCTACCATGTGCATAACATTGTAGTAAATAAGTAAGTAAATAAATAAATAAGTTTAGGAATATATCATGGCCAAAAGAATGACAAAGCATGTATGCTTCTATTTTGTCCATAGAGTTGCATCCAGTGGCCCTATTTAGGGGTATCTGGGGAAAGGAGAGAATTAAAGGTCTCTTTGCTACTAATTTTAGGGAAGACACAGCAACTTCTGGAGGTTGTTCCTCAAAACTCTAAAATCAACAGCTATATATTTTATGTATTTTTTTAAAAAAGTAAATCATTACTAGGCCTCCATGTTAGACCCTTCAAAAACATATTTTGTGCCATGATGTTATATCCATGTTGAATTCCACTGTAGATCTCCCAGTTTCAAGAACAATTCTTCTCTTCTAGCTACTGCTTTCTCAGGTGATGCCCATGGAAAATATTAATAAGAACTTTCTGTTTTTAAAGATCTTTAATAAGATTTCTAACTCCTTTGTGTTTGATAATTGAATGGGAAAATTGGTTACAGTAAAATACTCCTGTTTTTGGCCAGTCTTCTTACAAAATTTTAA